CCTTGGGCCAAATAAGAGACTTGTGCCGAATTTCATCCAAATCGGATCATAAATGCGACCTGTACTTTGTTTACAATTTAACATTTACAGACAGACAGACGGACGGCAATGCATAAATCGACTCAGAAAGTGATTCTATGCATATTCTCAGAAGGAACCATGGGTCTATCTCGTTTCCTTTTGCCTGTTACAAACATATGCACAAAGACATAATACCCTGTATCACAGTGTGGTGAAGGGTATAAACAACAAATAATGCCAAAAGAAATGAAGAACATGGAAACTGTCAAGCGAAGGTAAAAAGAAATAATAAAAAAATCCAAAGTATCAAAAAAAATCCTTGTGAAGAAAAATTTTATACGACCGCCTCGAAAGGAGTAAAATAAAAAAAAATAAATAAAAGCTGGCAAAAAGAAATAAAACTAGAAAAAATAATAAAAAAAAACAGAAAGGACTAAAACATTAAACGGAACTGACATTTCTCTTCTGGTCTTCTTCACTGACTAGATGATGCATTGTCGTTGTCGACAACGAACTTTTTGTTGTTTTTGTTTCATTTTTTATTTTGTTTTGATCTTAAAGATTTGTTGTTTTTTAATATTTTTTTGCTTGGTTTTATTTCAGTTTTTATTATCTGCTCTACGCCCTGTGTTTTGAAATGGTGGGTTTTTTTTATATTTTTAGCTTTGAGGATGCTGAACGGTTACTTTGCCTTTGCCATTGTTTTTTTCTTTTCTTTTTAATTTTTTATTTCTTTTCTTTATAATTATTTATTTTTTCTTGTGTAAAGGAAAACGGATGTTAACATTTTATGACAGTCATTATTTCTTTTTAAAGCCATATGCTATTTTCAAAGACCGAATTTTTAAAGAATTTTTTTTTTCCATGGACAACTTTTGCGTAGATTTTTAAAGAATATTTTGAAGGGCCACCAAGGCCTAGATTTAAAAAAAAACATAAAGGCAGATTTTTTACTGATGGTCTTTCATTAAATATTTTTTTTAATTAACGAAAAAATATTTTTAAAAAATTCCCGAAAAAAATATAAAAAATCTAAGCCTGTTTCAAAAAAATATTTTTAAAAAATCTTCAAAAAATATTTTAAAAACCAATAAGGAAAGTAGTAAAGTCGGACTGGGCCGACTATATGATACCCTTCACCACTGTATGTATATTGTACATATGTATCCGAACAATTTCATGTCAATGTTCCCTCGAAGGAACATACACCTTTCGGCAACCTATGCTATCGGGCAGATTAAGAATCGTTTGCGTACAATGGGACACATTTATGGGAATCGCCGCACTGTTAAAAATATAGTCTCAATCAGACACCCGTTCGAAATATATATGGTACGTTGTTTCCATCGGACAAAAAATTAGGAGTTTGGTGCACCATTTACCTAAAATCGGACCAAAATATATATGTGGGACCTATATCTAAATCTGAACAGACTTCTAGACTTAATTCAGTATGCCAAATTTGGTGGAAATCGAAAGACATATAGGAATTTTGGTGCAACATTTACATTAAATCGAACGAAAATATATATGTGAGCAATATCAAAATATGAGCCGATTTTCAGGTCCATCATCATTCTAGACATAATTTAGTACGCCATGCCAAATTTCGTGAAAATGGAAGAATATATAGGGACTTTGGTGCACTATTACATAAAATCGGACGAATATATAAATGGGTGCTATATCTAAATCTGAACCGATTTTCACGAAACTAAGCTCACACCATTCTGGACCTAATTCAGTACACTACGCCAAATTTCGTGCAAATCGAAAGATATACGGGGACTTTGGTGCCCCGTTTACCTTCAATCGGACGAAAATACATATGTGAGCTATATCTAAATCTGGACCGATTTTCACGAAACTTAGCACACGTCATTCTAGACTTAATTCAGTACGCTATGCCAAAATTGGTGCAGATCGAATGATTTTCAGGGACTTTGGTGCACTATTTACCTAAAATCGGGCTAAACTATATATGGGAGCTATATGTAAATCTGAACCGATTTTCACGAAACCTAGCACACGTCATTCTAGACTTAATTCAGTGCGTTATGCCAAAATTCGTGGAAATCGAAAAATATATAAGGACTTTGGTGCAACATTTACTTAAAATCGGACAAAAATATATATGGGAGCTATATCTAAACCTGAACCAATTTTCACGAAACTTAGCACACATTATTGAGGACCTAATTCGGTACCCTGTGCCAAATTTCGTGCAAAACGAGAGACATTTAGGGACTTTGATACATTATTTACATTAAATCCGACGAAAATCTATATGGGAGCTATATCTAAATCTGAACCGATTTTCACGAAACTTAGCACACATCGTTCTGGACCTAATTCAGTACACTATGCAAAATTTCGTGCAAATTGAAAAATATATAGGGAATTTGGTGCACCATTTACATTAAATCGGAGGAAATATATGTATATGGGAGCTATATCTAAATCTGAACCGATTTCCATGAAAGTAAACACACATCATTCTGGACTTAATTCAGTCAGCTCTGCCAAATTTCGTGCAATTCGAAAGATATACAGGGACTTTTATGCAGCATTTACATTAAATCGGACGAAAATATATATGGGAGCTATATCTATATCTAAACCGATTTTCACTAAACTTAGCACACATTATTATAGACTTAATTCGGCACGCTATACCATATTTCGTGCAAATATATAGATATATATAGAGACTTTGATACACTATTTACATTAAATCGGGCGAAAATATATATGGGAGGTATATCGAAATCTGGACCGATTTTCGCGAAACTTTGCACACATCATTCTGGACCTAATTTAGTACCCTACGCCAAATTTCGTGCAAATCGAAAGATATATGGGTACTTATGTGCCTCGTTTACGTTTAAATCGGATGATAATATATATGGGTGCTATATCTAAATCTGAACCGATCTTCACGACACTTCGCACACATCATTCTAGTCTTAATTCAGTAGGCTATACCAAAATTCGTGCAAATCGGAAGATATATGGGGACTTTGGTACTCCGCTTACCTTAAATCGGACGAAAATATATATGGGAGCTATATCTAAATCTGAACCGATTCTCACCAAACATAGCACACATCATTCTAGACTTAATTCAGTACGCTATGCCAAATTTCGGACGAAAATATATATGGGAGCTATATCTAAATCTGAACCGATTTTTATCAATTTCAATAGGATTCGTCCTTGGTCCAAATAAGTGACTTTTGCCAAATTTCATCCAAGTCGGATCATAAATGCGACCAGTACTTTGTTTACAATTTAACATCTACAGACGGACGGACGGACATGCATAAATCGACTCAGAAAGTGATTCTAAGCATATTCTCAAAAGGAACATATGCACAAAGACATAATACCCTGTAACACAGTGTGGTGAAGGGTATAAAAATTCATGCCTATTAATAGTCTCCCGAAAAAAATATTTATATAAATCCACTCCTTAAACTCTCTTAAAAAACTCTCGAAAAAATACATTTAAAAATCCACGCCTGTTTAAAAAACTCTCAAAAAAATACTTCTAAAAAATCCACGCCTCTCAAAAAAATACTTCTAAAAAATCCACGCCTCTCGAAAAATACTTCTAAAAAATCCACGCCTCTCGAAAAAATATTTTTAAAAAAATCCATCCATATTTATAGTGGTAGAATTTTTTAAGACTATTTATATAAAGGCGTGTGTTTTTAAAGATTTTTTTTCAAGCCATAAGTACAGTTTCCAGTATTTTCATCATTATTCGAAAAATAAATATTTTTATATTCCGTTATTTTTTCACTTGTTTTTTCATTTTTGTGTTCCACCTAGGAGGATGAAAAAAGGCTTATCATTTATTTATTTTTTTTATATCGCATTTTCGTTTATTTTTAACGAGAAAAACTCAGGCTATATTTTTTCCAAATGGCATTCAAAAAAAAAAAAAAGACAGAAAAACTTAATAAAAAAAACTGTTCGTATAAAAATCAAGCATGAACAACAACAACAGTGTAAAATAAAACTGCGACCTGAAAAAAGGGTTTTTTTCTTATTTATATCCCAGATATAAAAAAAATGCTGAAATTTTATGATGCAAAATTTTCCCCCCATTTTCATTTAAAAGGCGAAAAAAAAGAAAAACATTTTTTTTATTATTTTCATGTTGGCAGCAGCAGAAGTAGAAAAAAAGACGAACATACAGCTGAAAAAATAAAGAGGGTAACACGAAAAAGGAGGAAGAGAGTTGAGTGTCCTTTTTCGACCCCCCTGCTTCTCCCCACCACCAGATGATAAAGAAAAATGAAAAAAAAACATCATTGAAAAAAAAATGGAAAAATAAATAAAGTTTTGTATAAAAAGGGTTTAATGGGGAAAGGGGTGGGAGTTCGGTTAAGGGGAAAGCGGTCAGTTAGGTTGTTTTTTTTAATAAAAATTGAAATTAAAAATAAAATGTTAGAAAACCCCTTTTTCTAAGAAAAATGCCCAGAAAACCCCTGGACTAATGTCATTTGGCTTTTAAGGAAATGAAAAAAAGAAAAAGGAAAAAAATCTTCCAATTTTATTACCAAAGAAAATGAGGGAAAAACTCATGCCCTTTTTTGCAGAACCCAAAAAGAAAACAAACTAAAGAGGGAAACAAGGATTTCGTCCGCTCAACAGAAGCAAAGGATCATGTGTGTGATGGACATAGACGTGTGTCTGTGTCTGTGATAACAAGAAAATGTGGTGGGGAGAAAATATGGGAGCAAGGTTGTCATTGTATTGTACATTTTTTGAAATTTTGTGGAAAAAAATTACAACAACAAAAACATCAAAAATGGCCAAACCCCATTTCCCAGGAAGGGATTACCTAAAATTTCCATTTAAAATATTTATTTATTTTTTAATATTTTTTTCTTCTCTTTCATTTTCAGAATTAAATTGCTCGAAATCTTCATCTAACCTCCTCGCAAACCCCCCACCCACAATCATCCAACATGTTGCCGCAACAATATTGTTTGCGGTGGAAATACCATCACAGCAATCTACAGACAATGTTTTCACAGCTCCTGGATCGTGGCTGTTTCTGTGATGTCACCTTGGCGTGTGAGGGTCAGCTGATAAGGGCCCATCGGGTGGTTTTGTGCGCCTGCAGTACATTCTTCGATACGGTCCTCACAAATTATGCCAGTGAACGGGATCCCATTATTATTATGAAGGATATATCATTTGCCGACATCAAATGCTTGATTGAATTTATGTACAAGGGTGAAATTAATGTCGAACATGTAAGTAGGAAAAAAATATTTTTTTTTTAATTAAAAAAAAAAATTTCAAAATATTTTAATTTAAAAAAAAAATAATTTAAAATATGTTTTTAATACCATTCAGGGTATTATGTCTTCTTGCATATATTCGTGACAGGTAAAAGGAAACGAGATAGGCACTTGGTTCCTTTTGAGAATATGCATAGAATCACATTCTGAGTCGATTTATGCATGTCCGTCGGTCAGTCCGTCTGCAGATGTTAAATTGTAAACAAAGTACAGGTCGCAGTTGTGATCCGATTTAAATGAAATTTGGCACAGCTCACTTCTTCGGCCCAAGGACGAATCCTATTGAAATTGAAGAAAATCGATTCAGATTTGGATATAGCTCCCATATATATTTTCGCCCGATTCAATGTAAATGGGCCACCAAAGTCCCTATATAGCTTTCGATTTACACGAAATTTGACACAGAGTAGTGAATTAAGTCTAGAATGATGTGTGTTAAATTTCATGGAAATCGGTTCCGATTTAGATATAGCTCCCATATATATTTTCGTCCGATTTTAGGTAAATGCTGCACCAAAATCCCTATATATCATTAGATTTGCACGAAATTTGGCATAGCTTACAGAATTAAGTCTAAAATTGTGTGTGTTCAATTTCGTGAAAATCGGTTCAGATATATATGTAGCTCCCATATATATTTTCGCCCGATTTAAGGAAAATTCTGCACAAAGTCTCTATATATCTTTCGATTTCCACGAAATTTGGCACAGCGTAGTGAATTAGATATAAGATGACGTGTGTTAAGTTTCATGGAAATCGGTTCATATTTAGATATAGCTCCCATATATATTTTCGTCCGATTTAATGTAAATGGTGTAGTAAACTCCCTATATATTGTTCGATTTGCACGAAATTTGGCATAGAGTACTGAATTAAGTCTTAAATGTTGTGGGTTATGTTTCGTAAATATCGGTTCAAATTTATATATATCTCCCATATATATTATCGTCCGATTTAAGGTAAATGGTGTACCAAAGTCCCTATATATCTTTCGATTTGCACGAAATTTAGCATATCGTACCGAATGAGGCCATGAATGATGTGTGTTAAGTTTTGTGAAAATCGGTTCAGATTTAGATATAGCTCCCATATATATGTTCGTCCGATTTTGCACCAAAGTCCCCATACATCTTTCGATTTACACGAAATTTGGCACAGGGTATTGATTTAAATCTAGAAAGATGTGTGTTAAATTTTATGGAAATCGGTTCAGATTTATATATAGTTCCCATATATATTCGACCGATTTAAGGTAAATGGCGTACCACAGTGCCTATATATCTCTTGATTTGTACGAAATTTGGCACAGCGTACTGAATTAGGTCTAGAATGATGTGTGTTAAGTTTCGTGAAAATCGGTTCAGATTTAGATATAGCTCCCATATATAGTTTCGTCCGATTTAATGTAAATGGTGTACCAAAGTCCCTATATATCCTTCGATTTTCACGAAATTGTGTACAGTTTACTGAAATAAGTCTAGAATGATGTTTGTTAAATTTCATGGAAATCGGTACAGATTTAAATATATGTCCTATATATATTTTCATCCGATTTAATGTAAATTGTGCACAAAAGTCCCTAAATATCTTTAAATTTGCACGAAATTAGGCACAGCGTATTGAACTAAGTCTAGAATGATGTGTGCTATGTTTCGTGAAAATCGGTTCTGATTTGGATATAGCTCCCATATATATTTACGTCCGATTTAATGTAAATGCTGGACTTAAGTCCCTGTATATAATTCGATTTTTGTGAAATTTGGTATAGCGTGCTGAATTAAGTCTGCAATGACGTGTGTTAAGTTTCATAGAAATCGGTTCAGATTTAGGTATAGCTCCCATATATATTTTCGTCCGATTTAAGGTAAAAGGTGCACCAAAGTCCGTATATATCACTCGAATTGCACGAAATTTGGCACAGAGTATTGAAATAAGTCTACAATGATGTGTATTAAATTTCCTGAAAATCGGTTCAGATTTGGATATAGCTCCCATATATATTTTCGTCCGATTTTTAGTAAATGGTGTACCAAAGTCCCTATATATCATTCGAATTGCACGAAATTTGGCACAGCATATTGAAATAGGTGCAAAATGATGTGTGTTAAGTTAAGATATAGCTCACATGTATATTTTCGCCCCTATATTTTTTTAATTTTGGTTGAATTTTCAGACAAAAAAATAAACCCCATCCAATTTTATTTTTCTCTTTAATATCCCAATAAATAACTTGAAACAAATTATTTTCCCCCTTTTTTATAGGCCAACTTGGCATCCCTACTCAAAACAGCTGATGATCTCAAAATAAAAGGCCTAGCTGAGGTGACATGGCGTGACGATGAAGACGGCCCTCCGCCACCAACTCCACAAACGGAATTCTATTCTCCCACAACATCACGTAGCCGTGATATGTTACCTTATGACCACTATGGTCATGAATCCACTGCAACACATCCGCAAAGATCTCACAGTCCCAATGGAGGAGAACAGAGAGAGCAGAAGACACCGTCACCCAAACATGGTACCGCCATGAATGCCCGGCTGCCAACACTGACACCCATATTATCCTCCACTGCTACGGGCGGTGGTTCGGTGGTGGCAGCGGTTTCACCAAATGATGCCTATTTGGGACCGAAACGGAAGAGGGGTCGGCCACCATTGGATGATTCCTATGATGTTTTTAATGTGTAAGTAAAGCACCCAACTGGAAAATAAATCCCTCTACTAACCCATCCTTTTACAAATTTCAGACGCAAAATGGCCCATTATGCCGGCGATCAGGGTGATCAAGCACCCTATATGGAGGGAGGTTGCCCATATGCCGAGGAAAGATCCAACGCACAACAACAGCATCAGCAACAATTACAACATTCCCGACCCAATTCCCCCTCGGCTGCCGAAGCCTATCAACATCATGTCCAGCAGCAGAAGCAACGTTTACGCTATAAACCCCACAAGGGTCGAGATAATTCCCAGCCCGACGATGATGCCACAAATGAACCGGAATGGATTACCAGTTCATTGGAAGCTGAACAGGCAACAAAAGATCTCAATCGCCATAATGATCATGAAGATGAGGAGCATACAAAAAACTTGGTACATGACAGTGAAACCCTTGAAGGTGGCATAACCATTAAGAAGGAAAATCCGTCAGCCGATTCCTCACCTGAAAATTCTCAGCAGCAGCTGCAAGAAGTTCGGCGTAAAAATTCCAAAGATCAAGAATCACAAAAATCACCCAAAACCGAACAAAGCGATGAATTTCTAAATGAGGATGTGGGAGCCGCCACAGTTCCACAAACCGTGGAGGAAATTGAAAGCCAACAACAACAACAGCAGCAGCAACAAAAGAATACCACAAACAAGGAGAAGTCATCGTCATCATCCAATGGTCCTAACACCACATCCAATTCTCCAACTTCCTCCTCGGGATCATCGGCAACAAATGGATCCTCCTCCTCTTCAGCAGCCCACAAGACATCCTCGTCCTCATCAAATAACAATACTAATTCCCATTCCCATCAACATCATCACAGCACATCCAACTCACCATCGGCCTCTACATCCACGGCCGTTGCCACTCATCATGGACATCACGGAGGAGGTGGAGGAGTAACAACAGCAGCAGGCTCTGCACCCCCACCACCTCCTCCAACATCGGCTGCTCCTCCCTCGTCTTTACATGCCCATCCGTCACTAGCACATCACTATGGCAAATATGTGCCCGAAGGGTATCTCATCAATGAACATGGCATTCTAATGACACATGACTTCATACATGCTCCAACGGCGAGTATTCCAACATCTGCAGCTTCGACTGCTGCTTCCAATGGTGGTGCGCATCCCGATGAATATGTTGACATTAAAATGGATGATTATAATGAGGCGGACTTACGTTTGACCACGGAGGAAATGTCACAATGGCAGGATGTCATTAAAATGGATGATTACTTGGCCAAGGGCAGAAGGCCACAATTTTGGGAGGAACCATTTACGAGGAGGGTAAGCTTAAAAGAAATTATGTTATGGGTCGACAAAAGGAAACGAGATGGACACATGGTTCATTTTGAGAATATGCATAGAATCGCTTTCTGAGTCGATTTATAAACCCAGGGACGAACCCTATTGAAATTGGGGAAAATCGGTTCAGATTTAGATATAGCTCCCATAAATATTTTCGTCCGATTTAATGTAAATGGTGACTTAGCGTGGTAGCGTACTAAATTAGGTATAGAATGATGTGTGTTAAGTTTCGTAAAAGTCTGTACAGATTTAGATATAGCTCCCATATATATTTTCGTCCGATTTACTGTAAATGGTGTACCAAAGTCCCTATACATCTTTCGATTTGGACGAAATTTGACACAGCGTACTGAACTAGGTATAGAATGAAGCGTGTTAAGTTTCTTGAAAATCGGTTCAGATTTTGATATAGCTCCCACATATATTTTCGTCCGATTTAATGCAAATGTCCCTATATAACTTTCGAATTGCACGAAATTTGACACAGCGTACTGAATTAAGTCTAGAATGAAGTGTGTTAAGTTTCATAAAAATCGGTTCAGATTTAGATATAGCTCCCACATATATTTTCGTCCGATTTAATGTAAATGATGTACCAAAGACCCTGTATATCTCTCGATTTGCATGAAATTCGGCATAGCGTACTGAATTTGGTCTAAAATCATGTGTGTTAAATTTCATGCAAATCGGTTCGGATTTAGATATAGGTCCCATATGTATTTTCGTCCGATTTAATGTAAATGGTGCACAAAAGTCCCTATATGTCTTTCAATTTACACGAAATTTGGCATAGCGTTCTGAATTAAGTCTAGAATAATGTGTATTAAGTTTCGTGAAAATCGGTTCAGATTTATATATAGCTCCCATATTTATTTTCGTCCGATTTTAGATAAATGGTGTACCAAAGTCCCTGTATATCTTTCGATTTGCACGAAATTTAGCACAGCGGACTAAATTAAGTGTAGAGTGATGTGTGCTAAGTTTCGTGAAAATCGGTTCCAATTTAGATGTAGCTCCCATATATATTTTCGTCCGATTTTAGGTAAATGGTGTACCAAAATCGTTCAAATTGCACGAAATTTGGCACCTCGTATTGAATTAGGTTTAGAATGATGTCTGCTAAGTTTCGTGAAAATCGGTTCCGATTTAGATATAGCTCCCATATATATATTTTCTTCCGATTTAATGTAAATTGTGCGCTAAAGACCCTATATATCTTTTGATTTGCACAATATTTGGCACATGGTACTGAATTAAGTCTAAAATGATTTGTGTTAAGTTTCATGAAAATCGGTTCAGATTTAAATATAGCTCCCATATATATTTTCCGATTTCGATTTAATTATGATTATAAATCTCATTGTATACAAAAAATATTTTTTTTTATTTTCCAGGTCCTCGATGCCATTAAAAACAAAAGACTTGAAATGAAGAAAGCTGCACGTATTTTAGGTGTTTCATATGGTACGCTCTATGGACGTTATCGGGAGGTCTACGGTTGTCTCAAGCATCCATACAGGTATATAAGTAAATATCTTCAGTAAACATATGTACTGATTTTGGATTATTTTTATTTTATTATAGCAGCACATCAATGAGACCACAAAGTTCCCTAATGCAGCATCGATTTGATATGGCCTGGCCAACACCAAAACCGGGACAATTGGGTAAGTTATAATGCAGAACTGTATAAGGGAGTTTTTGTATAGAATATGTTTAGAGATCTAAACTTGATCATTGGAGACTACTGAAATGGTACAAAATTTAGGAGAGGATAGACACATTTGAAAGAGATATTGTAATAGATATAAAACGGAATTTACATTCGAACTCTTTACCGGGATAACCTACATTATCAGGATTTATTTGGTATATATTCAATTTATCTGATGGCACATGCCATTGAATGAAGCGTTATTTTTTATGATAATCTCTACTATACACAGTCTCGATAGTGTTCTTAATGACTTACTTTAAGTACCATCCCACATTTCGCAATTCATCTTCTGAAGACCTTGCATCCGAGCTCATCGTTCTCATGCGTATTTGTCTTTATTTTGACGGATATATAAAATAATTATACCCTCCACCATAAGGTACAGTGTATATTAAATTTGTCCTTCTGTTCGCAACATCCCGAAATATTCACCGGAGACCCATACAGAATATATATTTTTGATCAGAATAAAATTCGATGCCGATTTACCCATGTCCGTCTGTGGAAATCATGATAGAGATCAAAATATTTATGATAGAGCTCTGAAAATTTGCACAGACATTGCCAGTACTCCTAGGATGTTGGGTATTACAAATGGAATATATCGGTCGACGTTTTGGTGTAGCATCCATATAGCGGTACCCTCCAATATACGGTAATTTGTGGATTTTGGACATGTTTTTCAAACGAATGGGATGTAATTTTGTATTTTGGGTTCTCATTGTAAAGTTCACGTCCGTACCAAAAATAGTAAGTATTGACCCAAGTTTCAGGGTAGTCCTCATATGACGGTACCTCTCAATATTCGATATTTTGGGGATTTTGGACATGTTTTTAAACTAAATTGGCTGTATTCTGGGTTCTCATTGTATAGCACATGCCCGTACCAAAAATTATTAATATTGACCCAAGTTTCAGGGTAGCTCCCATATAAGGGTACACCCCAATATTCGGTATTTTGGGGATTTTGGACACGTTTTCCAAACGAATTGACTGTAATTTGGTATTATGGGTTCTCATGGAATAACACATATCCATACCAAAAATTATTATAATTGATATAAGTTTCAGGGTAGGCCCCATATAAGGGTATCTCCCAATATTCTATATTTTAAGGATTTTGGACACGTTTTTCAACCGATTTGGCTGTAGTTTGGCAGTCCATACCAATAATTGTTAATATTGGTCTATGTTTCAGGGTACCCTCCATGTAAGGGTACCCCCCTATATTCGATATTTTGCAGTTTTGGGACACGTATTTCAACCGAATTGACAGAAATCGTGTATTTTGGTTTCTCATTGCATATCACATGTCCGCACCAAAAATTATTAATATTGGTCTTATTTTTAGGGTAGCCCCCATATAACGGTATCCCGCAATATACGGTATTTTGAGGATTTTGGACATGTTTTCAAACCGAATTGGCTTTAATTTAGTATTTTGGGTTCTCATTGTGTAGCACATGTCCGTACCAAAAATTATCAATATTGACCCAAGTTTCAGGGTAGCACCTACACAACGGTACCCTCCAATATTCGAATATTAGGGATTTTGGATACATTTTTCAACCAAATTGGCTGTAATTTCGCATTTTGGTTTCTCATTGTATAACACATGCCCATGCCAAAAACTATTAATATTGACCCATGTTTCAGGGTAGCCCCTATATAACGGTACCCACCAATATTCGGTGTTTAATAGATTTGGGACACGTTTTTCAACCGAATTTACTGAAATTTTGTATTTTGGGTTCTCATTGTATAGCACATGCACGTACCACAAAATTACTATTATTGGTCTCAGTTTCAGGATAGCTCCCATATGAGAGTACCTCTTAATATTCGGTATTTTGGGGATTTTGGGCAGGTTTTACAATCTAATTCACTGTAATTCTGTATTTTAGGTTATCGTTGTATAGAACATCCTTGCACATAAACTTACTAATATTTAATATTATCATTTTGGTATATATTTTTTTAATATTTTATTTTTTTTTTCTCCCCAGATATTGGTAAACTACGACCCAAAGACTTAAGTGAACTCTGGACGCGACCGCAGATGTGAGAGAAAATTAGCAAAACTATGGGACGTAGTAGAACGGGGCTACAAAAATCACAAACTCCTACAAAATCCAAAAAATAAGGATACGATTTTTGGATTTTTCAATGGCTCCAAAAAAAGGTATCATGTCAAAGGTCATCAATGAGACCCCCAAAAATTAATTTGGAACCGAGTCACAAAGGATATAAAAAATTTACAAAAAAAGTCTTTGTTAGTATTAATATGTTTTGTCATAATACCATATAGCATTCCTTCCTGTGTATATAAACATATAAAATAATTAAATGTCTAGTGAATTATTTTTTAGTACTTTAAGAAAAATTTCTAATTAAATTAATTTTCTAAATGCATAAATACATACATATAAATTAAATTAAGATTATATTTCTAATAATGATATTGATAATTAAATATATAATTAATTATAAATTATTAAAAACACAATTAAACATAATTTATTGCATAAAAATATATTATTAAGATGAAGAAGAAGCAACCCCCACAGAAAATACATAAAAACATGATTTTAGTGTGAGGCTTTTATTGGAATTTAGTTTTGCTTTAATTTTTTTATAGAATAATTTTGTATTTTTTTTTTTAATTTTTAAAATTTATTTTAGGTATAAGTTTGTAAATTCTTTTTAATTATAGATTTTATGCATTTTTAGTTCCATTGTTTAATTTTTTATTTCTATGCAATCGCCACAAACATTATTTTAGGGTGGTCAGATACGGATGGGATAGGAAGATGGATAGGAAGGAAATTTTTAAATTCAACTCACATATTTATTCCCTAATAATACATGTCTGTCTGTCTGCCACCGAGTTTTTAAACTGAAGTCATCTTTTTTTTAATTTCAAAAAAATACCAAAATTTATTTTCTAAAAATTAATTTAAAAAAAAGCCATGTAAATATTTAAATAAAAATATTATATATCTGAAAAATTAATCTTCTTAAATAAATAATCATTTATATTCTAGCTTACAGAAATCCATAAGAAAATAAAAATTGATTAACAAATTTGTAAAAATTTCATATTAAAAAAAATCATAAAAAAATATTTTTTTTTCTCTCACGACAACATTGTATGTGGATTTACAGTTATATATGATTAGTAGAATTTCAAAATAAGAAAAATAATTAAAAAAAAAAACATATTGATAAACAAATTAAAAAAAATCACAAAAATATGCATTATCATTGTAACGGTATTTAATTTAAAATTAAATAATATACAAGGCAAAAAAACAGAACAAATAATTTACAAAAATTTAAAAGAAAAAAATAAATAATAAAATTATATCAATAATAAAAAATAACCTAAAAATCTTTAAATCGATTATGGATTTTCAATTCCAAATTTGCATTAAAGCTATTTTTTTATTTACGAATCAAAAAAATGGTGCGCCATCTCTACTAAAGTCGACGAAACTAAAATCTCATCGACACAAAAAACGTTTTTTTTTCTAATTTTTAGAAACAGTCTTACCACGCAATGTCGATAAATAAGTCACCATTCAAATACAACAACGACATCTTCAGGAAATTGTTGGTAACAATTTTAATACCCACCTTCAACACGAGAGGGCTTAATAAAGTGGCATTCCATCTATTACATTAGCGTATGACAACTGTCAATAATATTGAAAATATATCCGACCCTAAAAGTCGTTTCGGACATTATAATTCGGACAAATAAATTTTCAAATTGTTCCGTTGAATGCTCATTTTCGTGAAAAAAATTTAGGAAATCTGAAAATCTGATTTTGGTCCCCTTTTTACGTACATTTTGGTCCGAAAAAAAATGTTTTCAAATGGCAGCAGGGGAAGAGCAATATTGACTCAATCTTCCGAGTCCGAGGGACTCAAACTCAAATACCGTCTAAGAATGCCGGAGGAACGATGAAGTTGGTAAGATGGATGGGGCTCAAAACAAAGAAGGAGTATTTATCTGAGACACAATGGCAAAATCTGGCCAGGATCAATCGAAGGAAAAAACGCGAACAGAAACTTATACTCGGAAGAATAAGTATGACCTTTATTACAAAAGGCAACGTCATGATAGAACCCATGATAGAGGCCTTTAATCTACATAACAAGACACTGCTGGTTAAGAAGTCTTTCACAGGGAAGAGAACGCGGAAGGAACGCAGCTTATGGTTGACTTGGACAGGTCCGGTCAAGATTAAGGCGCACCCCAAAACTGTCTGACGATATTCACCGTCGACGCAGATTGAGATGTTTGAGAGCAAACACTTCAAGAATTGCTTCATCGGCTTGCGCAAGTACCCATGCTTCAGATCCACATAACAGCATGGGTAGCATCAGCGCCTTGTTTCTAAACTGCTTAATTAGACCATAGTAGCATCTGTTGTAGTGTTGGCCAACAGATGCTACTATGGTCTATGGCCTTCTCTAAATTTCAAAACTGATGTCATAACTTTTGTTTATAGCGGTACCGAGGTATAAAAAATCGTTTACTACCTCGAATCTGAAGTTTTCAAGTTCCACAGTTGGTCCGTGTCTACTGGACGTCTTGCGCGTCTGTTCTTCTCGTCATTTACCACCAGTCCCACTTTGACAGATTCCTTCTCAATCGTTCAAAGGTGTTCGACTCGATGTCGTTGGCGGAGCCATTTCTTTCACATTTGAATCTCGTATGACGATTTTCAACAGGATGTTATGTAGGTCACATACCAAACTGTCACCTTGTCTGGACCTTCGTTCGGTAGTGAAGGGCTCCGAGAGGTCTGGTCAATGGTGGATTTGCTAGGCCTGAAGCCGCATTTGTACGGTCTAATAAAGAATTAAAAAAAGTTACGTGCTCAGGTTGCGTTGTCCCAACCAGTTAAGGTTTCAGATAATGTTATGGATTAAAACAGGTTCCATAGTTTAATAGGAGGTTAGACACTGTGGAAAGTGAACACCCACTAATCTATGCCGTCTGCAGACCAGAGATACTCGATTGTCCCCATCTCCTCCTCGTCATCGCAGGATCCCATTTAATTGTAAATGTCCTCCCGCCATTACTCAAATTTCAGCTTTGCTCAGGTTCAACAGTGCGTATATTCTTTAGGCTGACAGATCATGACACATTGCTCATAGATTCGTTGTGCCAAGATTCATTGGCTCCTTCGTTAAAGAACGCCTCAAAATTATGGAAAAGGTGAGAGATGGGTGGTTTTATTGCGTCATCGATTACTAGATCTGAAGATTGAGATCTTCGTCTATCTAATTCAGCTTTTTCATTATACATGAAGTCACAGTGTCCTGGAACCCAACACAACCGACAGCCGTTAATGTTTCCCAAGCAGCTCCAAAAACGAGGACTTGATATTACGCGATTTGATGGCATTAAGGGCTGCTTGAATATCCACAAAAATAGTCACCTGGGGATTTGATTGGGCCAGCTATTGCTAGATCTGTTGATTTAGATCCAAGTGCTTTTTTCATTACCCATGAAGTCACAGTGTCGTAGTACCCAACACCCAATACAGTTTTTAGTGTTTCCAACGCTGCTCTAAACTTGAGGACGACCTCCGGCTTGATATTGCAGGATTTGATGTCTTTAAGAGCCGCTTGATTATCCACAAAGATAGCACCGCTTCAACGATCTCAGCATCCAGAATTTTTATTAAATATGCTGCCTTTCAAATCGCAAAGATTCCAGCTTGGAAAATCCTACAGTTGCTATCCAACTTGAAGGTTAACTGAAGGCCTAGCCTTTCACAGTAGACCCCAGCCCCTGTATATTCTACTACATTCGACCCGTCTGTATAAAAATGCCATACCGTCCACGAATTTGACGAAATTTTACATGGAGAAGGGGATCGGGCCAAAGAATAAGCATGCCAGTTTTGATAAAGATCTGTCAAATGACGTATTCAGATATTATTTAATAACCCATTAGAGGGCAGAAATAAAGCGCTGATTGCTTTAAAATTTTCCTATAGATTCCAGTTATGGTCAAGGACAACGCCTATAATTTACGGCAATGATCACATGAAAAATTTGGGATGAAGTGGATCGAAAACTTAATTTTGAGTGTTTTTTTTCGAGTCGATCTATAGGCCACAAACCGAACATCACAACACAACAGGGAATCTCGATAATTAATGATGAGGTCTGTACTGAAAATTGAGAATATTTGGATAATATATCAGTGTATGGAAGAAGTGCTTTTAATCTCTAATCGGTCAAGATGGTGCAAATATCACGAAATATTCCCAGGATCGAAATAAACATTCGCAAAAAGTTAGAGTTCCGTGGTAGTTGTGTAGCGTGTCGTATGGAAGGCCCCGTCAGACTATACTGCTCCGCTTAATTAAATTTATTTTTAATTTTTCTTTCTGTTTTAATATTTGATTATTTATTTTATTAATATTAAAATTCCTCCCTGTTCTACAATTACCCTATGCTGTGATATTTTTGCACACACACTGAACATACCCAATGATTTACTGAACACTGTTCCAGCCATCAATGTGACAGGTGTGTGTGTTGCAACACATCTGTTTGTTTCCCCTGCTCACAACAGTAACCAAAATAATGTACCCACTAACATTCTTTACCATCTCTATTATGTCTCTGAGCAGAGAGCTACCGTCTGTGTGTGAGAGCGCACACACGAGAGCAAGCTTGCCCAAGCAAAGCAAACTGGCGAATTCACCACAGCAACTTTGCATGCCCAATCATTGAAAAGTTTGTTGAGCACATCATCATTTGTAAACGTTACGTTGGACGTGTTGGTTGTGTTGTGTGCGCGTGTCCTATTGCGGTTAAGTGAACGTGACGTGAGAACGAAACGTGTGTGTCGAGTCGTTGTCGCGGCGCCTTTTACTACTTGTTTAGTGTACGTTTGATTTTCGATACGACGATTTGGTTCGTTTATTTGCGTTCCTGTGCGAGCGAAAGAAAAAAAGTTAGTTCGTTGGCAGAGTTGGTGTCTCGAAAATAAATAAAATAATACAGAAAAGAAAAACGAAGCGAAACGAAAGAATTAAGAAAAGTAAATTTATTGTTTTTTATTAATAAAAATTCAGAAAAAACAACAACAACAATAAACCCAGAGGATAAAGTGTG